CTGGTTATATTGTTCGACTGTACTAGTATAAATAATAAAATCATTCTTTCGCCCCCTAAGTTCTGGAGGGCTTTCAGTCACTCGACTCACCTCTCTTCTCTCTTCTCCTCTCCTCTCTTCACTTGCTCTTGCTCAACACCATTAATTATTGCTATGATTTGCATAGTCCACCTTCAACTTTGGCCAATCATGCCATGACCAGTGATAGCAACTTCAGACAGGAGAGCCATTCAGCTGATCAGATGCTCCCTACATCCACAGATGTTCCCGGGAAGGTGATGATGAGTGTCCCCGTGATGAGTATGAGAGGTTTGTCCAGACCACATCTCAATAGAACATAGCCACTCTTGCACACAACCACTGGGGTTTGTTGCTCGGAGGGGGGGAGGGGGGATGGTAAGGTGTGCCGACTAAAGAAGGCCATTTATGGACTTAAACAGTCTCCTTGAGCATGGTTTGGTAGGTTCAGTGAGGTGGTAAAGAAGTTTGGTATGAAACAGTGCCAGGTTGACCATTTAGTCTTCAGCCATGACTCTTGGGCTGGAAAGATCCTATTGGTGGTATATGTAGATGATATTGTTATTACCGGGAATGATAAAGTGGGAATTGATAGGTTGAAAACCTTTCTACAAGAACACTTTCAGACAAAGGACCTTGGTAAACTAAAGTATTTCTTGGGAATAGAAGTAGCAAGGTCTAAGCATGGTATTAACTTGTGTCAAGGGAAACATGTTCTTGATTTGTTGAAAGAAACAGGATTGTTAGGTGCTAAACTAGTTGAAACACCTATGGAAGCAAATACTAATTTGAACAGTGATATGGGTGAAGATTTTGAAGACCCTGGTAGGTACCGGCAGCTAGTAGGTAAACTGAACTACCTAACCATTACTCGGCCAAACATTTCATTTACGGTTAGTGTGGTAAGCCAGTTCATGCAAAAACCTCGGGTTCCACATTGGGATGTAGTTCTAAGGATTGTGAGGTATTTAAAGGGAGCTCCTAGTCGTGGTTTGATATAGAAGTGGAGGAAAACTTGAAATAGAGGGATATACTGATGCTGATTGGGTTGGTTCAATATCTGATAGGAGATCCACTATAGGCTATTGTACTTTTCTTGGGGGTAATCTGGTGACATGAAAAAGTAAGAAACAAACAGTTGTGGCAAGAAGCAGTGCAAAGGTAGAATATAGAGCTATGGCACATACTACTTGTGAATTAGTGTAGCTGAGGAACCTTCTACAGGAGATGGGATACATTGTTGACACTCCAATGAAGCTCTACTGTGACAATCAGGCTGCAGTCCCTATCTCTTCTAATCCGATGTTTCATAAGAAAACCAAGCATATAGAGGTTGACTGTCACTTTGTGAGAGAGAAGGTGCTGAGTGGATGATAGATACTGCATATGTTAACACAGAAAACCAATGGGCAGACTTATTTACAAAAGGGTTGAGTTGGGGAAGAGTGGACTACATATGTAACAAGCTGGGACTATATGATATATACTCACCAGCTTGAGGGGGAGTGTTAATGTTGACTATGTAGGGGTATTTTTGTCTTTATGCTTATGCTTAAGTTGTTGATGTATAATGTTATGTTAGCATTTGTGTCCCCCACTTAAGTAGGGCCAAAGGTGTCATTTCTTAATTAATAGAAATATAAAATAAATCTGGCCGAATGGAGAGAGACTGATTTTCTCTCTTGTTCGAACTAGACCTTTCTCCCTCTCTATTCTCTTCTCTTCTTCTTATTCTTCTTTCTCTTCTCCTCTTTCTCTTATTTCTACTGTTACCATTCTAACGGAATTCAAAGGCAGATTGAATTCTAATACTTACTAATTCAAGCCATGTCTTTTTTTGGTCTGCACCTAGCCCTTCTAGCCCCTTCAACTTGCAATAGGTTGCTTATTCTTACAGATGTTAATGTTATAGATGGTCTTCTATGCACAACAATGAGATAGCAACTTAGCAAGGCAAAATAGGAGGGGCAGTACATTATTGTTACAGTCATTTAGATCCACTTCAGAGAATGCATATTATCTACTTCAGGCACTGGAATTGTTACTTGGCATAGTTAATCTCCTGTAGGACCAATGTTCCAACTTCCAATTACAGTTCCATATAACTAGGTCAAGACATCTCAGAACCGCAAAAGTTGAAATAATTTGAAGGACTCAGTATCTTGAAAGGCTTTAAGCTTTTGGACAGTAGAGGAGACTCTTTCAGCATCTTTTGTTGGGGTGCTGAGCATTTTGCAGCAGATCTTTAAGGAGTTTGAGCCTCTTAGCTAGTATATGTCTAAATTCTAAAAGGCTCTAAAATCCTCTTGAATGAAGATACCAGAGAAAAAAAATTGAAAATTCAATGGTTTTCTAGAACTCTCTAAAAGCCTCTTGAACATTAATACCAAAGAAAAAAAATGAAAATTCAATGATTTTCTAAAACTTCATTACAAATTCATGCTGGCCCAAGCCGAGCATGAGGCCTGAACTATTAGCTGGAGTAGGGCTCAGACCAAGCTCAAGTCCAAAGTCCGAATATGGGCCTTGGACCAGGCCTCTGCTTGGTAAGGTCCATCCTCATCCTCATCCCTAGTAAAGATCCCCTTTGTATTTAAAGTGATAAACTATCATATTAGACATCGAATGCAGAAGTTTTGCTCTGTGGGCTTGATAAGGTCTTACCACATCCCGACTTGCCAAAGTAGCAAACATAGCAATGAAGCCTGCAAGATGCAAATAAATAGTTAAATAAATGGATAATAAAACAAGTTACAGAAATTCAGAAGAAATAAAAAATGTTAAATATTGTAAATCCATCACTTTAGTTACACTATGTGAAGAAATAAATAAATAAATAAATGAATAATAAAACAAGTAAAGAAACTCAGAAGAAATCTATACTACTTTAAAAAGCACAACTGGCCTCAAGAATATTTCTGGAATTTTTTTGAGGACAAAATTTACCCCTCTATATTTAAATTTATTGATAAAAATGAGGGCAAATAGGGTAATTGGTTATTGATATTAAATGAGTTAAAAAGAGGTAATTTTAAGATATTCAATGCATTCAATTCCCTCTCATTAAATCCAAATTTAAGTTATTAACCTGCATTCATGTTCATTGAATCATACATTTAAGTCATTTTATTTCTTCCCAAGTTCTCATCATTAAGTTTTATTAATTAATTCCATACTTAATAAGTTAATAATTCCAATAACATAAAAGCTTATACTTTTAAAATCTGCCTAGAAAAAATAGTGTTTTCATCTAGGTGGTGGTAAGAAATTAAACCATTTTTGGGTCAATCCATGTTGTCACGATTAAATAATAAAATGAAAAAAATAGAAATTAAAAAATTGAGAACATTTTTAACATACATATTAAATAATAATAAATATGATAAATAAGAAATGTTTTTATTAATGATGGAAATGGAATGTAAAATTTAATTGGAAATAAAAATATTTTCCTATTCTCTCTCATTAAATCCTTTATT